CTTCGTTCAATATACTAGGGAGATTATTTATATAGATCAAGAACAGGAGACATCCCAGGACGCTGCCTTGAGGTATTGAGCCAGTAATAGGAACTGCATCCGATCTACAGTGGGTTATTTCTCCGGTTTCAAAGTTGGTGTTTTCTATTTCCACGTATTGATAACGGTTGCTCAAATAAGATCTCAACCAGTCATGAGCCATATTCCTACTATATGAAGAAGTAAGCCTTGGCCCTTGACGTCGCGACCTCCAGTCAAGACGAGAAGTTCAATTTGTTTGAATTAAGTCGACTTTTATATTCATTCCAATAACCGGATAGAGTCAATAACTTTTGAAGTAAGAAATAAAGAATACAAAGCAGGCGCTATGCACGCATAGGGTATTATGTGATACCTACTGGGTGGCTTGACCGCCTGGCGATCTGGTATGAGGGGGTTATGTCACAATGACATGAAATAGTTGCGTCGCGTGACCGCGGGCCGGTCAAGTTTGCGACCGCATTGTTCCATTTCCGCGCGTGAACTTGAGATCGCGAATGTGGGTTGTGTATTGTGCTGTCTGTTTGTCTATGATGAGTCGTGATAAATGGGTCAGTTGAATTTGTTGCTTTGGGTAGCTGTAGTTACAACACTTTTTGTATAGGAGGTATTAGAGACCACGTGACGTCGTTTATAAGAGAGGGTAGGTAATGTACAATTTATTAATTGTTTAATTTTTATCATGTTAAAAAAACATTCTGAGGCGGGCACGCCCACTCTCAAGCACCCACCAGCTCCCTCAGGTTTTGCACCCCGTACTTACTTTGCGTGCGGGAGGGCACTCGATAGGCGCCGACCGCGACACGGGCGGCAAAAGGCGCGGAGTGGCCGGCCGGATAAGCTTGCTGAAGTGGCGCCGCACAATGCAGAGGATAAGAAAAATAATAATTATTGTATAACGCCCTCAGATCATAGTATGATCTGAGATAACGCCACTCTTGTGGCGGAGTTTTGGGCTGACACTGTGTAGGTTTGTTGTCGACACGAAAAGAAGAAGAATATTGTATAACAATGAAATTTGCGTTGCATGCGATCATTTTGAACAAATCTGACTGTATGTCACTCACGTCCATTTGGTCACGGGCTAAAACAACGCGTTTACGCTGCGCCTGGCATCTGCAGCGTCAGCGACAGATCGTTGATGATGATTAAACTGATTAAACAAAAGACAAATGCATATAAAAGTAATGAATGATAGTTTGTTATCGGATTGTATGTAAGTGTAGGTACGTACTTAATTAGCCTCATTTGCATTTAACCGTTCAACAAAATTAGGTAACGTAGCTCAGTGTTCTCGAGCAAAGACAATCTCGTCGTTTACGTAGCCGATGAATAAATTAATTATTCTCAGAGTTAACAGTGACTTCATCTCAATAATGTGACTGCAATAAAATAAATTACCTTTAATGGAGTCCGCATAGTTGGTATGTGCTCTGTATGATAAAGTTAATTTATAAAGTTAATAATGGCGTTCCTCAGTTTCAGTGGGTTATTATTTCCCGCGACTGTCACCTCAGGTCGAGGGGCTTGAGGGCCTCGTTATATCGTCGCAACAAAGCCTTCGTAGAGTAGAGCGACTAGCTCATTTATCTCACTCGGAGCCCAATCCACGGCCTGCTGATTCAATCAGTTTTAAAAATGCTCGTTCTTGTTTCACATTTAAAGGGCGCGACCTAACATTACTTCAAATCTGGGGCTTGGCATGGAGCTTGGCAAAAAATTACAGGCATTTCTGGGGGNTATTGCGTTTTATTTAGTTACTATGTTAAAAAATGTGGAAAAAATCGTCCATGACGGCTTGGACAATCTCAATCAGTCGCGCGGTGGCGCTTACGGAGGACGGACGCGTGTCAGTTTTTTAGCCGTGACAGTTCGCGATTTGTCAATATTTTTGACAATGATGACTTTGATGAGTCACAGTATAATAATATCAGTGTTACTGGAGAAAGCTTAAATTTCGTGTTCGTGCTTTGTCTACCTATTGAAATTTAAATCGTTCGCATCCTTTTAAACGAAGACTCTACTCATGATACATAGTACATTCATCAAATATGAGACAAAACCAATGAGTTAAAATTACATTTTAATAGTACCTAGGTACATACAATCGTCTTACACTCTTTAGAAGAGCACACTGACACAAATAAATAATAAAAAATACTGTCTAAGGTCTGTTGTAGCTAAAGGTCTAAGCTGCAAGATAAAAGAATCTTCTAGCCAATAACTTTAAAGCTATAATTTGAACGAATTTTGCTATTAGTGGACAAATTTCTGCTCATGATGGACTAATTATCTGCTATACTCCCGACTCTCAAAAGCACAACATTTATAAAAATTTAGCTGCGGTAATGCACTCCAGGTAACAGTGTGTGATGCTCATTGCTCATAGTGATTTTCGATACAGAGCCCCGTACATACGTTATACATAAATTATGGAAAGAAAACACCCAGACCAATACAAACAAATATGTATGCAATTTTAGTATGATATTTTTATTTATTAATAAACAAAAAGACTGAACAAAATTGATGCGTGTGCAAAGCTTTGTGAATTGCAACAACTATAATTTATTATCCAAGCTCTAAATAATCGCTACTATGAGTAACTGATCATAAAATGTTTTTCCAAACGCTCAAGCTCCCGAGGATCTACAGATAGGTCGGGTGACGTAATCTTGAAATTCTTTTAGCCGGCGCGGAAATTCCGGAAGATCGGGTGACGCCACGCCTCTTTGAAACGTGTTTACTTTGGCAGTTATCTATATATATAAAAGAAAGTCGTGTTAGTTACTCCACTTATAACTCAAGAACGGCTGAACCGATTTAGCTGAAAATTGTCAGGGAGGTAGTTTAGAGCCAGGAGAAGGACATAGGATACTTTTTATCCCGTTCGAAATTAAAAAAAAAGTCTGCTTATTTATTGCCATTAAGGCGGAACAAAGTTCGCCGGGTCAGCTAGTATTCTATATTTGTTCGATTCTAAAATGTATTCCCAAAAATTTTGAAAGTTGTTTTAATTTGTATCACTTGGATATGATTTGTATTAGAAAGTGCTGTGAGTGTGACGCTTGAACGGAAGGAAGTCAACCTAACCTAACCAACTGCGTATTTCTAAACTGCGTATTTCTATACTGTGTAGCCGCGAGAGCTCTTTGGCGCGCTGTCTTCGGCGTAGTATTTATACAGTGTGAGTCACGTTAAAGTGTACATATGAAAATAGATTAAACTAGACCTATTTTTATCGACAAAAAAGAGGTCAAAATTTTTTTGAGATTTTTTTTTAATTTTTTATGGATTATTTTTTCTTCCAATTACTTATTGTAAAGAAAACGTAATAACTTTTAAACTAAGCGGTATATCCTGATAAAATAAAAACAGTAATAATGCTAAATAACAGGCGATACTAAAAAAATATATAAAATACACAAAAAATGCCAACAAATAATAAAAAAGGATACTTTTTGAAAAAAATCTGCTTTTAAATTCGTGTTTTTTTGGTTATTTGATAATTTTCTCCAAAAAATGCCCCTATAACATGTGGTTTTTATTACTTTGTATTATTCTCTATCGTATTATCTTTGTAAAACCAGAAATCGCATGTCTCTATCCCTATCACAACATTTGCTATGATCGTTTGAACAAAGGCCTGCCACAACATTATTCTCCGCTACAGGTAGAGACAATTTTAATTTTAACTTAAATGCTTATTTTACTTCGAAATCTTTTGTTTTTATTTGAAATCTAACTTGTCTTTATCAACATTACAAATCTAGAGCCATTTTCAGTTTCGTTGTTAACAAAGCGTTGAATGGCGCGCCCGTAGAGGCTTTGTTCAAACGATCATTGCAAACGTTGTGATAGGGATAGAGACATGCTATTTTTGGTTTTACAAAAGCTATACGATGGAGAATAATAAAAAGTAATAAAAACCACCTGTTAATGGGGCATTTTTTGGAGAAATTTATCAAATAACCAAAAAAATACGAATTTTTAAGCAGATTTTTTCCAAAAAGTATCTTTTTTTTATTATTTGTTGGCATTTTGAAGGTATTTTATGTATTTTTTTAGTATTGCCTGTTATTTAGCATTATTACTGTTTTTATTTTATGAGGATATACCGCTTAGTTTAAAAGTTATTGCGTTTTCTTTACAATAAGTAATTGGAAGAAAAAAAAAATCTATAAAAAATTTAAAAAAAATCTCAAAAATTTTTTGACCTCTTTTTTGTCGATAAAAATAGGTCTAGTTTCATCTATTTTCTTATGTACACTTTAACGTGACTCACACTGTATAGCGCGCGCAGATTTTGACAGCGCGAATTACGTACTTTAGCAGAAATACCAAGCCTTAAAGCATTTTGGCAGAGTGCCTAAAATTCGAAGTCCGACAAGAAACCTACTAGCTAACGACAGTTTTCTCGTGCAAGAAACCTAAAAACCCAGACAAAAACTTTAACAAATATAGATTCTGTGTTCATAAAAGAGGTACATTCCCACCTAATACAAAAGCACACAAATATTTATTTTTATGACGATGACGATTTGACAGACTCTAATGAAGTCTGTCACCAGGGTTGTGATCTTAGATAAAACTCACAAAATATCAAATCTGTACGCGCATTGACAATGTCAAACGTCATACAAAAAGTTGACGAAGGTGACAGTGTTTCTACCACCTCTTAAAAAACTCATAAAAGTCATTTATTTATGCAAGTAGGCTTTTTAAAAAGCACTTTTATACGTCCCAGTATTAACCCTACCACTGCTTCGGGACAATAAATGGACCAGTGCTGAGAAGAAGCAGCGCAAGAAACTCAGTCACTATTTCAGCCTCTTTTTCAAGGGTCTTTTCTCAGCACCAGTGAATATATTCCTGAATTGGGATTAGCTATTGGAGCATGTATTATGTACCTAAGGGCTTTAAAAAGTGCCTACACACTAATAAATATTGTTCTCTATCAGGATACGCGATATTCGCCTGGCGTGGCGAGAGCGAAGAAGCGTTCTGGTGGTGCATTGACCAATGTTGCACGCCCAGTGCGACTTGGCAGCCCAATATGATATTGGACGATGGCGGAGACGCGACGCATCTTATGCTGAAGAAACACGCGCCTGCTTTCAAACATATTAAAGGTAAACAGAATTTCTTCATCACCAGGATACTTTTTTTACCCACAACGAGTAAGCACTAAAAGGCGGCGGTCTAAAGGTGCGACAGAGACAAGTGACCAAGACATGAGATCGCGACGAACGACCGCGACCGCTACTTGACTTTAGTCAATGTAAAGTCCGGACGCCGAGCAGATAGAATTTTGTCCAATGACCCCAAGCTACCCATCCTTATCGCTCGCGCGTAATTATACAGCTGTCGCGACTGTGCGACAGGTGAGCGCGACGGCAATATAATTACGCGCGAGCGATAAAGATGAAGATGATAAAGGTTCTGGAATGGAGGCCGCGCACCGGAAAACGCAGCGTGGGACGTCCACCTACAAGGTGGACCGACGACATCGTAAAGGTAGCAGGGAAGCGCTGGACGCAGGCCGCTACCAATCGATAAACATGGAAAGCATTGGGGGAGGCCTATGTTCAGCAGTGGACGTCCTGTGGCTGAAATGATGATGATGATGATGATGATGATAAAGATGGGTAGCTTGGGGTCATTAGACGTAATTCTACTTGCTCGGCGACCGGACTTTTTAGTGTCAGTTCGTGAGCGAGACAGAGACCCAATTCAAGTAGCGGTCTCTTGTCTCTGTCGTCGTACGAACCGCTGCCTTTAGCCTACATCCCACCCCATGGAATGCTCTCACTGGGAATCAAACAGAAGGTCTCAAGCACTCTGAGTGCTACTTGGCAGCCCAATATGATATTGGACGACGGCAGCGACGCGACGCATCTTATGTTGAAGAAACACGCGCCTGCATTCAAACATATTAAAGGTAAAGACGGATTAGCAAGCTGAAGTGGCAATGGGCAGGACACATAGTACGCAGAACTGACGGCTGATGGGGCAGCAAGGTTCTGGAATGGAGGCCGCGTACCGGAAAACGCAGCGTGGGACGTCAACCTACAAGGTGGACCGATGACATCGTAAACGTAGCAGGGAAGCGCTGGACGCAGGCCGCTACCAATCGATCAACGTGGAAAGCATTGGGGGAGGCCTATGTTCAGTAGTGGACGTCTTATGGCTGAAATGATGATGAAAGGTATAGATTTCCTTCATTTGGGACTATTCTCACCTCTCGTTCCCACCGCTGCAACTCCTGTGTAGCCAGGATCTACAGTTTGACCGCCAATAAAAACCCAACCATTGAATGTCAAGTCTGTCCATCATCAGGACACTTCGAATTCTTCCTGTGTTCTTCTGATCCCTCCTATGTTCTTCTGATTTAATTCGTTGCGGGTCCAATGACAGTTTAACTTTCCCCCGGGACAAACTGGGCCTTTACTGGTTGGGTTGAGCGGTCAAGCTGTAGATCCTGGCTACACAGGAGTTGCAGCGGTGGGAACGAGAGGTGGGAATAGTCCCGTATCAAACCACTATTTTTTCCACAACGTGAAAGCTTTTGGCCTCCATCTCATCTGATCGAAAGTGATGATCAAGCCGAAGATGGAAGCGAGCTTCACCCGGAATCCTTAACCACGGAGGAACTGGCTATCTTACCTCCAACTACGGGAACGACAATGCTGTTAACATTTTCAGCTTTCTTATAAGTGGTGAATTAGGTTCTTCCATTGTCCATCTATGGAATTGAGTTGATAAGAGTCTTATAAAGTTTTAAAAGTAATTAAGACTAATTATATCGTTCTATCTCTCTCAGGTATAGTAGAAAAGAGCGTGACAGATGTTCACCGGCTATACCAGCTCTAAAGCGAACAATTTTCGACCTTCTTACAAGGGAATTAGGTTCAAATTATGTTGTGAAAGATGTTTAGACTAATTATATTGTTTTGTCCCTCTCAGGTATAGTAGAAGAGAGCGTGACGGGTGTACCAGCTCCAAACCGAACAATTTTCGACCTTCATATTAGTGAATTAGGGTTTAAATTATGTTGTCAAAGATTCACAAACGATGCTTGCTTATTGCTTAAGTAGCAACGCTATGCGAAGTCGAACGTACAGCTCCAAATCGATCAATTTTCGACCTTCTTACAAATAAAAGAATTAGGTTCAAATTATGTTGTCAAAGATGTTTAGACTAACTATAACTTTCTATCTCTCTCAGTCATAGTAGAAGAGAGCGTGACAGGTATCTACCGGTTTGTACTAGCTTCAAAGCGAACAATTTTCGACCTTCTTACAAGGGCATTAGGTTCAAATTATGTTGTCAAAGATGTATGACTAATCATATCGTTCTATCTCTCTCAGTCATAGTAGAAGAGAGCGTGACGGGTGTCCACAGACTGTACCAGCTCCAAAGCGAACAATTTTCGACCTTCTTACAAGTGAATTCGGTTAAAATTACGATGCCAAAGATGTTTGACTAATGATATCGTTCTGTCCCTCTCAGGTATAGTAGAAGAGAGCGTGACGGGTGTCCACCGACTGTACCAGCTCAGCAAAGCGAACAAATTATGCGTTCCCGCTATGAACGTCAACGATTCGGTGACGAAAACGAAGTTCGACAACTTGTATTCGTGTCGGTAAGTCTAGATTTTAATGGCTGGTATTTATCAAAATGAAATAAATTATTGTTTTTTTTTGCAAGTTGTCATCAGTCTTGTCTAAATAAAAATAAAACAAAAAACCCGATTGGCGCCATTTTTCACCAGTTGACGCCTCTGTAAAGACCTGTTACTAGCTAGGGGCGCCAACTGGCGAGGTCTAATAATTGCGTGTATTGTATTTAAATTAGTCAGGTTGCATTTCATTTTCGCATAAACATCTGTATTATATCCTGAATTCCTGACCCTGAGATTATAATGAAAATAATTTTAGTTTATTGTTGATTGGTATACTTATAAAGTAACATAAATTAATGAGAGAAAACTTGGAAAAGCATTTTCATTTTCAGTTAAAGTCCGGTCCACGAGCACGTAGAATTTCGTCCAATGACCCCAAGCTACCCATCCTTATCACTCGCACGTAATTATATTGCTGTCGCGACTGTGCGACCCGCAGTGAGTGTGCGAGCGCGACAGCAATATAATTATGCACGAGCGATAAGGATGGGTAGCTTGGGGTCATTGGACGAAATTCTACGTGCTCGGCGACCGGACTATACAACTGTTAAAATGTCGTTATTTTATGCATTATTCCTTTAATGAAAATGAAAAATATTTTTGATTTTGATTTTGATTCCTTTATCTTCACAGGGAAAGTATAATAGACGCTCTTAAACGCAGCACAGATCTAATGTTTGGGGGCAAACAGTCGGTAGTTTGCGGGTACGGAGAAGTCGGCAAAGGGTGCTGCCAGGCGCTGAAGGCTTTAGGATGTGTTGTGAGTATATGTATTTATTTATTGTTAAACTAGCTGTGCCCGTGACTTAGCTTCGCCAGCAGAAAATTCGGTTTGTTATCACATTACCTCAATTCGTTCGTCCGTTTCAGCCGAAAGACGTCCACTGCTGGAGAAAGGCCTTCCCCAAGGATTTCCACAAAGACTGTCTCAAGACAAAAGTCTTTGACCAGTGATGGTATACGGATCTGAGACGTGGTCGCTTACTTTGGGCCTCATAAGAAGGCTCAAGGTGGCCCAAAGGGCGATGGAGCGGGTTATGCTCGGAGTTTCCCTGCGTGATAGAATCAGAAATGACATAGCCCGCAAAATTGCTAAAATCAAGTGGCAGTGGGCGGGGCACATTACCTCAATATCATAATATTTTATGTAACATTAATTTTACGCTGCGCTTTCCTACATGGTGGACCGACGACTTCATAAAGGTCAAGGCCAGCAGGAAAGCGCTGGATGCACGCCGCTACCACAATCGGTCAATAATGATCGCAACCATAAGGAAATTATTGGGGGACGCCTTATGGCTGAAATGATTATGATGAACATTGATTTTTATGAGTTCCTATAAATTATATTGTAGAAAAAGCATAGTACCATATTTTTACGTCAATTGTCTGCTTTTTATTTATTTAGTTGGCGCCTTCGCGGAGTATTGTCCTGGCGCCAACTGGCAAGCGGCGCCAGCTCGCAAACATTATTATTGTTAATAGTGTTTTTTAATTATTTATTTATATTTTTGTTTCAGGTATATGTGACTGAAATAGACCCAATTTGTGCGTTACAAGCCGCCATGGACGGTTATAGAGTTGTTAAATTAAATGAGGTAAGTACACAAATGTAGGAATTAGACTTTTTTTAAATATTTCAACAGCAATGTGTAACTAGAAATCAACTTTTTGCTGTTTATTAATATATCTTCGCGCTATTTGCACTTGTAACTTCAACTGAATTGCAGTATTTCGTTAAGTAAATAAATAGAAATAGAATAACCCTCCTTCTGGCGCAGTCGGGTAAAGAGTGGAGGCCACGTACCGGAATGACAGCGTAGGACGTCCTTCCACAAGGTGGATCGATGACCTCATAAAGGTAGCAAGAAGGCGCTGGATGCAGGCCGCTACCAACCGGGCGATGTGGAAGTCATTGGAGGAGGACTATGTTCAGCAGTGGACGTCCTGTGGCTGAAATGATGAAGCAACCGAATAAATATTCTTTCTTCTTCCAACCGCAGGTAATCAGACAAGTGGACATCGTAATAACAGCGACGGGCAACAAAGGCGTGGTAACAAGAGAACACATGGAGCGCATGAAGAACGGCTGCGTGCTGTGCAACATGGGCCACAGCAACACTGAGGTCGACGTGCACGCACTGCGCACGCCTGATCTGCTGTGGGAGCGGGTTCGAAGCCAGGTGAGGCAGAAGCCAGGCGAGACGGTTAGAGGCCAGGCGAGACGGTTAGAAGCCGGGCGAGACAGTTAGAGGCCAGGCGAGACAGTTAGAGGCCGGGCGAGACGGTTAGAAACCAGGCGAGACGGTTAGAAGCCAGGCGAGACGGTTAGAAGCCAGGTGGGACGGTTAGAAGCCAGGCGAGACAGAAGCCAGGTGAGACAGTTAGAAGCCAGGCGAGACAGAAGCCAGGTGAGACGGTTAGAAGCCAGGCGAGACGGTTAGAAGCCAGGCGAGACGGTTAGAAGCCAGGCGAGAATTTGGGGGCACGGTAGTGCAACCGCCAAGTCGAGTAAAATTTTTCAATTTCGGTCCAGTTTTCTAGATACATAACTGCTGTCTACAAAATACAAAAAGAAATGAGATCCCATCAAAAACAATACTTGTCAAAAAAACCAAGTCTCGCAACTCAGTTGTTCTACGGTAAAAAGTTGTGAGATCCATGTAATACCAAGTCCAGGCCAGGAAATCTTTAACGTTTTACATAAATATATTGACTTGGCCATCGCATGAAAACACGTGTAAATTAAATTATTTAGTGTTAATAAAAGTGTCTGCTATTTTGAATATTGACTGTTGTAAATTGTAGTAGGTAGGTAATTATCATTTTTGGTTATGGTGCTCTATGTCTTCTTTTATGTAGAGAGACAACCGATTCGTACGAATGATTATTATGCGGTCTGTGGTGTCTAGAATCTAGAAAGTAGATAATCTAAATGCTATAAACGTCTGCCACTGTTGCCAGTTTACTGTTTTCGATCTGAACCATTTCATGCGAAATACAAAACAATTGCTTTTAGTGGCTTCTCGAGCGACTACGAGTATTGTGTTTAATATTCATCAATGACAATCGACGGAGAGCTATTTGACCGCCTGTCGCCGCTCTGACTGCAGCTCTTACGCAACCCACGCCGATAATTGTCTTCGTACTTCAACTGTTTAAGTGGGAGCTCATCCGAAGTTTGGAACTACTAACCGGGGTCCGGTCATTTCAATTACGATCTATTAGAAATGACGAGATGCAATTGACATGAAGCTTTGACGACAGTAATGATGAGAAAAGTTGGATTGTAGTGAGAGCCCCACATAACCCACTAGCTGCGCCGATGAGCATGCAACTTTATGTATTTTCCTGACGAGAATGATAAAAGAATTTACAATACTTCGTGTCGATCGATCAACTGAAACTAAAACCTCTAGAGCATAATAATATTATTAATCTGTATCGGGAAGTAAGGTTCGGTTTTTGTTACCCTTAATCATAGTGTCTCGCAGCAGTACGGTAGTCTCTAAAAATGCTCACCACGTTGTGACAGGTAATTTACCCACAGTATTTGATGATGTTACTCAGCTCAGGGTTTCAAACCCTATCTGTATTTTAACGGCAAGAAGATGATCGGTTAAATCGTAGAATAGGAAGTTATTGTGCTGTGGCGAAATACGATACTGCATGATGGTTAATATGGCATGCGGTAATAATGTGTATCGTTGCACTTGCAGATGTACAGCGGAGCCATGCTGGCGACGGCGGCGCGGCTGGCGTGGGACCCCAGCACCTACACGTGGTTCCGCTTCCTGTGCGCGGCGCAGTACCGCGTGTCGTGCGCCTACGTGCTGGCGTGCGGCCTGTGGCTGGCCGCGCTCGTGTACCTCGCCGCCGCCACGCGCTGCCTGCGCCTGGTGCGTCCGCTCTCCGCACCCGCACCCCTCACCCCGCTCTCCGCTCCGTCTGAGCTTCGCGTTCCAACTGCAACATGTCATGCAGATTGTACCGTGGAAGAAATTATGACCAAAAATACTAGTTTACTTATACATACAATGGTTTACCCTTGGGATTTACCGTCATAATTACCCACCATGACCATGATTCAGGAAATCGTGCGAAATAACCTTTTAATCATTCGTAATTTCTTTCTCAATAACAATGACGCAAATGATTTTGAGGAAAATTATTATGTATTATCACCATACCTAGATATCACTAGCAACAAATTATTGTTTTGTTATTTTGCTGTCTCAAAACTGTTTGCTCGATGTTCGGTGATGGTCTGAGGTTTCTTTGGGCTAATTTTGAAAAAATCGATTGCGACCTTTCCGCTTATCGGGCGAGGGAGTCTTTCGAAGGCGAATTTTTCATGATTTAAAATTTTGATTAAGATAAATAAAAGCAAGTACCTATCTATGTTTCCTTGGAACATCTCAGTCAGTCAGTTACTTATTAATTAGTGATCGAAACGCATGTAGCAGGCGCATCACTGGCATCACGCTTGAGAGGTGGTCGCAGTAAGGCGGTGTCTGCTTGCAGTACGCGGCGGGCGTGGCGTGCCTGGCGGCCAGCGAGGTGGCGTACGGCGCGTGGATGGCGGCGTCGCTGGCGGCGTGGTGGCGCACGGCGCCGCAGGCCGCGCTGGCGCGCCACGGCATGGACCTCATGCACGACCTCAAGCCCGCGCTGCTGGCCGTCGACCGCTACCGCGACGTGGCGCGCCCGCTCTACGACATGCTCGAGGTGCGTCCGCAACTCCGCACTGCCCGGCTGCCCGGCTGCCCGCTCACCACCACAATTTGGTGATGAGGCTTCATATTATTTTGATTACTTGCATGATTCACATAATAGAATACCCATGTTCTAACAATAGCAGATTCCAACAATTCACTATCAGTACTTATCTTCGTGTTTTACGTGGTAATCGTCGATAGATAGTGAACTGCGCAATCTAACAAAATATTTAAGATATCGATGACAAATCAATGTAGGTAGTTGAGTAAATATTACTAATTGTTATCTAACTACCTACATTGATTTGTCACGCTGGGATCAAACGTCATTATTAATCGTCATTAGTAGTGTTTTGCTTCGTTAAAAGTTTTAACTTAAAACAGCCTGGTCAAGGTTTGACAAGACTTTGACGAAGCGAGCAAACAGACAAAGCTGAGCTGAGCGGTCCGTTGTTGCAGGAGGTGGAGCGCGAGGCGCCCAACAACGCCTTCGTCATCGTCGTGTTCGGCATCGTCGGCGCCGTGCTGCAGGTCAGGCTTCCGTCTTACTTACTCAACCGGCTATTTTCATTTTTTTTTTTGTTCAGAGTGGTTTTGATTCAATCAATGATTCAGTATTGGAAATAACTTTTAAAAAGGTGTTCTCAACACACGCAGCGACTTTCGCTTGCGGCAGCGCGCTTGCTATCCGCGGCGGCTGCGTAACCATCGCATGGAACAGCCGGTCTCGTGTTTCTGGAAACAAAACCGCAACGCGGCGGGTGCGTGCGGGTAAAAACAGCTTCGCTAGTTCTTAGAAGCCTGCCACTGGATCAACTTGGTTCTTCCGTCGTTCGTAGGTTGTAGCGTTCATAATGGCCGTGCGGATGGCGCGGCGGGGCGGCGGCGGCGGCGGCGGCGGCGGCAGCAGCGCCGGCTCGCTGCCCGAGAAGGCGTGCGCCGACGAGGACAGCGACTGCGGCGCGCCCGCGGCGCCGCCCGGCTGGCGCAAACGCGCCAACCTCGGCATGTACACCATTCTCGACAAGATTTTCTAGCAGGTAATATCAATGTGCAGCTCATTTAACCTTACCTACTATTTACATGAATTTTTAGTTGATTCAAATATGTACTTTGACAAAATGTGTTTTATCTATGGTTCCTTTCAATGTTAGTACCTACATAAATTAATCATGGCTGCCAGTCTCTCGATAAAGTAGATGAAAATAAACCAACACGCCAGTACATTCGATATCAGAGAATGCTCACTCACAGGCGTGTGAGGTGTAATAATATAGGTGATTAATTGAATTTTTAATTACGTATTTTTAGGACGCAGAGGCCGCGGCGGATGCGCGCTCGCCATCGCCGCGGTCGCGCGCGCCCCGCCCCCGGCCGCCGCGGCGCCGCGCCGGCAAGCACGGCCGCCGCCGGCCGCCCGCGCGCGCTGGGACGCGGTGCAGGCGCAGCTGCGCGCGCGAGCGGCCCGGCCGCGCCCGCCCACGCCGTCGGCGCCGCCCGCGCCCGCCGCCGCGCTGCTCATCCTCCACGCCGACATATAGCCGAGAGGAAATATTAACGACGTTTGAGAGATTCGTTAATTTTATCCGAGAAGGACATATCGCTTCGGCGTTATACAATTTTCGAATTTTAGATTAGGTACCATGATTGTATCGTAAGGACGAATGAATCCAGTTGACTGAGCAATAGAATATAGATAAAAGACAGTAGAAAAAAATCGGAAAAGAGTAACAATACTGACTGATGTCAGTCAAAAAACATTTACTATTCGGTAATAACGAATTTAAAATGTAGCCGTCACTGCCAACAAGTGTATGTGTTAGCGTCACTACTCCACTACTCCTGTCCACGGTGGCGTAGCGTGCTAGACGCGTGCGGACGTACGTAGACATTACAGGCTTGGTCCACGCCTGACGCTGGCAGCTAAGCAGCTTACATACAAATTACTTAAACAAAACAACGTAACTCTGTCGACGGATCTATGCAAGCGAATTGCCGAATACGCGTCTAGCCACGCCGCCCATGGACAGTAACGCTAATTCATTCATGCTTATAACTATGAATATTATTTAGTATGTACTATCGGGGACTCGAACGCCTTGACACCTTAAGGTCCTAAATTGTTTGCACACACACGCTCGATTATGCTACGCCCCCTTCATTCATGTTTCGCGTCTAAGCAGCGTCGGCGCACCACTGTAGATGTTTACCCTTGCAAACCAAGCTCTATGTAAAGCGTTTAGGATTGAGTTTTGCTTATTACCCGCATCCGTAGNTTTTCTTTCTTTCTTTCTTTCTTAAAGTTCGTATTAAGCACGTATCCATAATGTCCACCAAACATTCTCAAACCTCTGTCCCATTGTTCCATCCGGTCTACGAGTATAACAAGGGCAGTGTTGTTGTTATACCACCTAATGTAATCAATTTACAACTCAGCAATAAAAACAAAGGTATAGGTACCAAGACTCTACCACAGGCCTCGGTTATGACGTTAATATAAACAATCACACATTCCATTCTTATAAACATAATGCTCCGATTGTTAATATACTGTAGGTACAGCTTCAGTTTTCGAAAAAAAAAACCACTTTTATGTGCGTTATTTATTTACTGCGAAAGGTTTGAGGAGTAGAACAAATAAATAAAGTGAGCAATATTTGGATATAGACTAAAACAGAGCTAAAAGATTCCCACCACTGCAACTCATGTGTAGTCAGGAAAAGAGATACCTTATTGACCGACAATAAAAAAACCCAACTAGTAAAGGCCAAGTTTGTTACGGTGGAAAGTTAAACTGTCATTGGAAATCAATCAGAAGAACATAGGAGGTATTTGAAGCTAAAAACTGAGCTACACGTACATCATTTAAAGGGCGATCACTAACCTTGCAAGCCTCAATGTAGGACAGGCCAGGCCTGTCCTTGTTGAAGAGCTTGAGATCAGGCGGGCAGTACAGGCTCTTTGTGACCACGATGAACAGCCTCTTGACGGGGAAGACCACGCCCTCGTTCTGCTCGAACACGCGGATGTTCTCCGCGAAGCCCACGAAGCGGTGCCCATCGCTGGGAATGACGTGCGTCAGGTAGCCCTCGAAGAAGCTGCACGCCATGCCCGTGCCGTACGTCACGGTCTTCGATTGTTTCTCCTACAATTAATAAAAAATGTATCTTGCTTCTGTATGTATTGTAACTTCCTACTTTGCTGGATTGATTCCATTTTAATTCAAACAGATAATTTAATTATTTGCAATCATATGAAGCAAATTCACTATTATTATTTTTTTGTTTGATTGACACTCAGAATTACTCAATTATACAGGGTGTTAGGTAAATGGGTATATGAGCCGACACTAGCCCATGTTAACATGGTCTTATAAATGGTATGGTGAAGTCAGAAAATTGATATCTGCATTTTAATTATTTTAATTTTCATACAAATCGGATTTTATAAAATTTATTTTTAATGAAAATTAAAAAAAATAAAATGATGATATCAAACTGACTTCACCATACCATTTATATGACCATGTTAACATGGGCTAGTGTCGGCTCATATACCCATTTACCTAACACCCTGTATACAGTCGAAAAAGAACCATTTATACTAATTGAAAACTAAAAATAACAAACAAAACTATATTACTAAATTAACACCAACAAGACTCACCATCTCAGTATAATCAGTGACGAGTTTGGCCGCAAATAAGAACACGAAGTCCGGTCCAAACACCTTCTGTTTACAGAATACCAGCGTGGCGAGTGCCCCGGCGAATATAAGCCAGTCCTTCTGGTGCTGTCTGTACAGCTTGTGGAAGTTTAAGGGCTGCTTAAGGCGATTACATGGCCGAACGACCTTGAGCATTAGAGCGAGACAACGCGCCTCTCGCCGCGCGCCCGCGCTTCTGCCCGATACCAAAGTGCGCTCAGAATACAGATGCGAAGCGCTGCCAATTCTAACATAACTGCCTACGGGAATGTTAACTCGATTTTAATTTACGCAGATCGAAAAAAATTGCGATGATTATTTTGTGTTTCAAAACAGAATTTAAAAAAAGAAAATAAATCATTATACAGAATAATAATAATTATCGTCAGCATATTTTCAAACTGAAACAAAATTTAAATAAATGATTATATTTCAATTAGACATCATTATACTTTAATTAGTATTTTTTAGATAATTAAATTTTCTATCATTTGGTGAAAGAATCATTAAAATCGCTTGAGCCGTTTAGGAGGAGTAGGAAATTTCTTTGGTGAAATTAGAAGAAAGTTAAGAATTTTTTCTGTCAAAACTAATAGTTGTAACAAAAAAAACGAACAACAATTTTTTAGTTTAAGATATTATACATCTCACACATATTTTTTTTTCTTGTTTGGATCATCCATTTAGGAGGAGTAGGGATTCAAAGAGAGGTCTATTTTGCAGTTTTGCCTCACCTATCGCCTTAAAGCGGAACGCGTTGTGCGACAATGCGACCAAAACTCCGGTGCCCCGTATTAAATATAGGTACACCGTGTAGCGCGCTGGAATACAATGGATCGTTGTTAATGCCCGGCGGTGGTGGTGGTTGAGTTGATGACAATATGTGAACTTAGGCGAGATGAAATAGGTTAAAAACAATAATAAATATTATACTTTAAGTGACCGTGTGTGTAACGTGAATTAGGCATTAGGTACCATTATTGATTAAGTATTGTCATGACAATAAATTATTTCCTGGATATAAAGTAAAACCGTATTTAAATAAATCACATAAGTAAGTTAAAAATAAGTCACATGTGAATATTTCTTACTGCTGAATGAATGGTCGACTTAGAACAATCCCTGAAATACCAGTCAAACTGGGCAGAAAATGTTGCCTCTACTGGGAATCGAATCCTTGAGCTCTGGGCCTGACTGATATAGGTCTGGATATTTCTTAGATTTAAACCTCTAATGATACGGGAAAACTCTTTTAAAACCTTATTTGGCTATTTAAGCGTTGTAAATATGAGCAGCTTAAAGTTAATATCGAGCGTGCCTTATCAGTTGCGACACTAACAGAAAACAAAGAGCAACTGTTACTTAGGAACAAAGGGCACTTGTAAAACTTTTAAGCATCTACAGTACCTGTTTATAATTAAATTTAAATTGCAGACATTTTACTTTGAAACTAATTTCACGGCATATTAAATAAAATCTGTCTACATACGTAGCTAGACGTGTATGGATCACCAATTTTACCATTTGGCGGGATTGTTCTAGTCCGCGACGCGAACCAAGTCTGTGGAGCCCATTACTGTTATAGGTGGTACATTAACTGTGGTCTGGCGGAGGTATTCTTTCAATTAGATTTCTTAATATCTAGATCAAATGCACTTACCAATAATCAGCAGCCACTTCTGTGCATCGTCGACGCCATCGAAGCTAACACCTTGATATCCTGCAAAAGAAGGAGAAAGTGTACTTATATTAATATAATAACCCCGGTTCTTCCAGCATATCTATGAACTTATACCCAGTCCCCCAAACTTTATTACGAGTAAAGGTTGGGCCAAACCAACGTGGCCTGCAGCGATGGCGACCAGCAGACTAATGCATTGATCGCCATCGCTGCACGCCGCCAGCTGATCGCATGTGATCGCGTTGGTATCCTTCCGTTTGGCCAAATTACTTTTCGCCAAATTTCACTTCGCAAACAACTTATCGCCAAAGTTTCATTTCCCAAATGAACTTTTAGCAATTGTACTTTTCGCAACTAATTCATTTGGTCAAATTATCATTTGGCAAAATTTTACTTGGCAAATGTTTATATAGCAAATGTTTTATTTTGCCAAATATTATATCCCAAATAATTTGTTTGGTCAAATTGACACTTCACATACTAGGTACTTACCCACCGTTACCCACAAATCAAATCATAGGCACATGATCATGGTTTTCACAAGAATTTTATGTAAAACAAAGAGATTGCAGAAAACAGTATGGTTGCAGAAAGTAGGTATTGCTGAAAATAGTAGGTTAGGTTAGGTTAGAACAGTGACCATTAACGCGCGAAGGCGAGCGAAGCGTGCCGCGGCAGCGGCCGCCGAGCGCTAGAATCACCTTTATTGTTAATGAATCATTTAGAAATTTCGAAAAAAAGAATGAAATATGAAAATTAATATAGATTTTTTTTAATATTTACTACCCACGAAACAAAATAATAACCACAGGCTTATTTGTATTCCATTCTATGCACCAATCAAATTATTTTGTAAATTGTTTATCGTGAAATATTTTTGCCAAATGAAACATTTGGCAAAACATACTTTGCCAAACAATAATTTGCTAAACAATAATATGCCAAACACGACATTTGCGAATTAAAAATTTGCAATAAGTTGTTTTGCCAAATGAAAATTTGGGAAACGTTGTTTGCGATGTGATAATTTGGGAAACGTTTTTTGGCCAAACATTAGTAATCCGATCGCGTTGGTTTGAACCTTTAAGGATTTGCCGTACTGGGTGCGTTTTGCGGTCAGGTCAAAGTAAACGCAGCTCGCATCGTGCATGAACAGCTTTTTTTAATAAACGAGCACATAGACTTTCGTTTCTACAAATTAAGTATACCACACTCGTTGTTTACTTTTACGGGTCAAGTAACCTGAACCTCCCGTATAAATAACCTGAGTTATGACGAAGTTACATTGTTGCAACTGGTGCCGAGTTATGGATGGATACTACAGTTACCGTCAAGTGCATATTATAAACAACTAGGTCTATTGTACGGAGGACGGCTCTTCAAGCTAAAGAATTAAACACGGTAGCATGTTATATTTAGGTAGTTTTAATTATGTACCTACCAATATGTGGGTAAGGTACAACGGTTTTTTTTTCTCTCCCTTTGTCATCCATCCTATTATTATATATGTATGTGTCTATGTATGTATTCATATGTTATTTATGTAATTATTTTTTTTTTTCTAAATTCGTATTAATTCTATACCGCCTACTTTATTCTCAGTTTGGCCCTAAGGTTGACTGGCAGAAAATGCCCAAAGGCATTAAGTCCGCCTTATGTACACCGTTCTATGTGCATATAAGTTTTAAATAAATAAATAAACGGTCGAACGGTACAACGAGGGTACAACCCACCTACACAGTATTTCGCACGTATTGGCTTGCAGTTTAATATTATTGGAGTTGTAATATTTATGTTTTAAAGGTATTGAGGCAATCTTGCCACTTCACGTTAGGCAGACCGCGGACGCAATATGTGGGGGCGGGCTCCAATGGCAATGATAGAATGTGAAGGTAGGGTAAGGTGGGGCACAATGTTACACGGGGTACAATGTTACAATGCATATTTCTCCGTCCCTTTCTATTAGTTGTATGATGTTCAGCGGCTCAGTTGAGCTGCTCTTATGAGCTTGACAAACGTGTATACCAACATCATACTAACTAACTAACTAATAGAAAGGGACGGAGAAATATGCATTGTAACATTGTACCCCGTGTAACATTGTGCCCCACCTTACCCTACCTTTTCTATAGTTCTATGAAATGAATAAATAGTGGAAATAGAGTGAAATAACATGCGCGACCAGACACACATCAGCCGTTTTATTGTGGTGATAGCCACAGTTCGCACAAGCGATAAAATATAACCGCCAAATTATTGTGTTCTCAGAAACCACAGAGATCGAGACAAATTTTACCTACAAATTGAACCATTTTTTATGGAAAATTGCTTCTATTGCAACTATAAAGTCAGTGTTTATCTTGAGGTGCCTACTTTATTCTCAGTTTGCCCTAAGGTTGACTGGAGGAAAATGCCGAAAGGCATTAAGTCCGCCTCATGTACACTATTCTATGTGCATGTAAGTTTGAAATAAATGTGCTGTTGATATTTGAAATGTCCTATTCTAGGACCTACTTATGTACCAACTAGCATCTTCATCTTCGAATCAGTAGCCCAATATCATGGACCCTGGTACGCGTATGTTTGCTATAGATATTATTCTGTGGCTCGAGTTTCGGCTGGCGCGGCAGCCACATAAAAAACCTAACATAAAGCCCGACAAGAGAATATTTGGCCGGACAAGTCCGTAAAAAGCCAAAAATGTCCGGCTTTTGGACACCTGGCAACCCTACACGCATGTCCCCCTTTAAAACACCGCGGGGGTAACAACGGTTTTCCCTAGATCTTAAAATGTCTACCAAATCTAATGAAAATCCATACAGTGGTTTTTGCTTGAAAGAGTACTGCACCAAATTATCTGGGGGCACGGCAGTGCCCCCACCAAGTCGAGCAAAAAAGCGGCACGGCCGTACCATCCTTTTCTCGAAGCAATTCAGGCCATTTTCGACCGCCTGTAACTTCGTTGTGGATANCCCCGATAGTACCTATTTCACATACATTCCTGTTTTCCTATGCATTTACATATTATAATTTTAATGAGTATTGTACGTGACGTATTGTCAATTGATACATTTAACAAAAAAAAGCACAAAAATAAGTATTGCAAAAAATAAACTTCCAAAACCTGAATTTTTTTTTATGTTATAGATAATCATTATGGTATCAGTGTACATAAATATAATATTTCGCACATCACTATTTGTATACCTATACAATCCTCGAATCTATTTTTGTACTTTTATGTTTGTTTTTCTAAATTGTGAAACATTTTTAATTCGGTACGAAATGTTACCGCCTATGGATTTTTACATTATTATATTTGTCATGTTTGTAACGAAAACAGACTGCCATATTAGTAAGTAGTACAGATTTGTAGATAATAAGCAATAATCGTTTAATGTTGGGAGTAGTGGTTACTGTAGCTCCTAGCTAGATAAGGTCGCTCATATCGCCGTCGCTCGTGGGAGGTGTCTTCAATCGTAGTACCTTTATACTTAACATGTTACGTTTACTCATATTATTCATGTTACGATTTGAATTGAGAGATAATGTTTATAAGATGTTTGTAACCGTTCAGTATCCTTCGACCTCTTGCCTTTACCGGAACTGAGAGAGGCTATGGTGCTATACTTGGACAACCATTTAGTGCTGCGTCGACTGATGTGATTACAGTTTGCTGTGATTTGCTTTAAATACTCGCCGCCCGCACCCCGGGGGCCAGCCGGCGGCACTTCCAGTAGGTGTTTCATGCGTTGGTGCCAAATAGTGTAAGAGTAAGTAAACTACAGCGCCGCGTGCCCCCCAGCAGTCTGTAGGTAGATATCTCAGGGAACGCGAGGATGCCTCCAATGTTATTATTGAAATAAAAATCGATTGAATTAAAAAAAAACGCACACAAGTTATTAAAACACGAATCCCTCGCGCCTTTGCGATATCTATAAATTATATTATGTAGCTTAAAAACCCTAGTTTACAGTTCACACTGAGCTAGCAATTGGGATAGTCCTACATGCTTGCTGGCTTAGTGTGTATGAAACTTAATACATAAAATATACGTAAACTTTAGAATACATCAGCGAGGTTGTTAATTCAGAAACTAGACAATAAGACATACGCACAACACGCGTGGTGACGCGCCGTGTCGCGTCGCATCGGCTCGCAACCAGACGCGTTCATGAGTATAGTTTACATAGACAATATCTATAATAGTTTTAAATGATCAAGCAATAAAAATATATTTTTTATAACATGACGTTTCCTTGTTCTCTACCCTGTGCCCATTAAAAAACTCCCAAGCTCGATAATAATGTGTACCAACAATACATGAGTCACAATATCCTTAATACTTATTTATAATTTTTTCACCTGCAGCTGCTGTTGGTTGGTGAACGATTAGTGTGATAGTGTTGATAAGATACTATTATCATCGCACTAAATTCACATTGTCGAGCGCGCTACGGCGGTCGCGCGCGTACCCTGTGACAAAATAAAATGATAAATATTGACGGTAACTTTAACATAGCGTGAATAATTTTGACAATCATAGCATTTGGGGAGCAAGATTTGACTAAAAAAGATTTGAGTACCTACTTTTTTCTCCAATTCAGCGGCTCGATCCCCGAGGATCGATCCACTTAACACCCGAGTGTTAAGTGAAAATGTGCAGTGTTTGAAATCATCAGTGGCGAGCACTGCACAGTGAGACAGTGCGACCGCCGTGGATGAGCAGCGCGGGCGCCCCTGCGCGGCGATGCTGTGCGGCGCGCGCGGGCGCGGGGTCGCGTGCGCCGCGCGGCTGCTGCTGCACGTCAACCTGCTGCTGATGGTGAGCGCCACTTTGTCTACATAAACATTCCGGACTGAGGCCTACGTTCCACCAAAGCGGAGAGGAGAGATGTGGTCGAATAGCCAGATTAGCCAGTCAGATTTCGTTATTTCCACTTTCCACGTAACCTCTCCGCACAACTTCGGTTTGGAAATCTGATTGGTTATTCAAACACATCCCCCCTCTCTCCTCTCCGCTTTGGTGGAAACCGGGCCTGATACTCGGGGTAGGTCTTTGTGGGCTTTGTGGAAGTAGTGGACGTCTTTCGTACGGTAAACAACGAAAGTTTGGAATTTCTATTCGGAACATGTTCAAGTTAGGTAAAAATACCTACTTTGATCGTCGGTCCATTTAGTAGGAGGCCTGCCCACGCTACATCTTCCAGCCCGTGGTCGCCACTCGAGAACTTTCCTGCCCCAACGGCCATCGTCTCTACGAGCTATGGGCCCCGCCCACTGCCACTTGATTTTAGCAATTATGCTCGTTGTTGTCTCGTCCTCGATGATGAAAGATAACTAGTGTAGTCCCGGCTTACATCCTCTGGCGTCACACAATTTTAAAGCTAAAATAAAATATTTCTGAACGCAGTCGTACGTAGGTCCCACCACGCCATCTATTACCTGTCAACTCATTCGGTTTTCCGTGTTATTGGCGTCACGTTTGCGGTCGTGAAAAATTTTGTTATTTATAGTGTTTTTTCTACGAAATATTCGATACAATGGACAGAAAAAGGAAAGGAGAAGATAAACTTCATCTACTGAAAAAGATTCGACGGTTGGAAAAGAAAATAATCAGTTTACCGGAATCCGATGACGAAGGTGAGGTTATGAAAAAATGAAGAATCTGTTCGAGGCTCTGGTTTATTGGTAATAAACTTACTTATAGCAACCATGGGGGTGTTCTGTGGGAACACACGAGGTTGGCGATATAAGTAGAGCACTTTTTTGCGGCGATGTTCGCATTTGTTGCATGACGCAATATGGCGGCAAGGCACGCTACGACAAAACAATACGTCTTGTCTATTTATGCAACCACTGGGGTGTTCTGTGGGAACACACACGGTTGGCAAGAGCATTTTTCGGGAATGCACGTAACTTTTATGCATGACAAGCTATGCGACTATGTTTTCTGTGATGGACGCACACGTTGTCGGCAAACTAACCTCGATGCACCCCGAGGGAATGCATGTACTTTTCGCGGTATAACGCAGCGCAGTACTGGGAGCTACCATTCAATAGTGTTTCTTTTACAGCTAAGGAGATTGAAGAAGGTGAAATTGAAAGTGAGAAGGAGAATGATCATCCAAACTCTGAATTCCTTGATGATTTTATCCTTGAGGAGGATAACAACAAAGAGGAAGAACTAGAGGATGAAGTACTAAATATATTAGGAGTGGCTCCTGCTCCAGCCCCTAAGAAAGAACTATTGCACAAACAAATTGCTGGGAGATGGTGCGAGATCCTGGAGAAAGGACTGAAAAAGGATGAAAAAGAAACAATTACAAAAGACAATCCAGCCTTCCAGAATGTGCCCAAGATGTGTGCTCCAAAACTTAACAAAGAAGTTGCCGCTGCTCTGAATGACATGGCTAAGAAAAGGGATCAAGTTATTGAAACCCGACAGAAACAAATGTCTACAGCCTTGGCTTGTGTAGGCCAAGCCCTACAGATGTGTATTGGAGATCATCAACAACAAAAACTGTCAATTATAAAAAAGCTGAATGAAGCGGGAAGGCTGCTAAGTGACTCCATATTTCTAGAAACAAAAGGACGTAGAAACTTGGTACTCTCAACAATAAATAAAGATCTAAAGGACTCATTATTGGAAACTGAGAGTGGAGATTACTTGTTTGGTGACAATCTGATTGAGAAGATAAAAACTGCTAAGGCAGTCCAAAAATCAGGAAAGGAGTTAAAAGTAATAGTGAATGACAAAAAGAAAACCTTTGTAAGGCGACCTGAAACCAGCGCAAAGAACGACAACAACCGAGCTTTAAACTGGCGGGGCCCTCCTCGGATGGGATCACAGAGGTTCCAGAGGTCAGGCGGGCCGACATACAATCGCCAACAACAAGCCAGCAAGAAGAACGAGGACAAGACATTGCCGAGACGAGGGAAGAAATAAATGCTAAGGTAGGCAGAATTAGGTTTTTTCTCAATAATTGGAAACAAATCACTAGTGACCCTGTAATATTAGATTGGGTTCAGGGATATAAAATCCCTTTCAAGGAGTTACCTCACCAGGGGTCTATACCCCTAAACAACAATTTACCGTTGGCAGACCAACGGCAAATTAGATCAGAAATCAAATTGTTACTCAGTATGAATGCTATTGAAATATGTATGCCTACAAATGATCAGTTCTGCTCTCCAATCTTTGTCATTAAGAAACCAAACGGTACCTATCGCTTTATTTTAAATTTGAAAAAACTTAACACTTTTGTAAATACTGAACATTTTAAATTAGAGGATTATCGGACAGCATGTAAGCTCATACAGAATAATGATTATTTAGTAACTTTAGACCTCAAAGACGCATATTATATGATTAATATACATGAATCATGTAAAAGGTATTTAAGGTTCTTTTTTGAAGGAAAATATTACCAGTTTAATGTTTTACCTTTTGGACTTTGTACGGCTCCACTTACTTTTACAAAAATTATGAAACCTGTCACAGCTGCTCTGAGAGAGAGAGGCTTTATTTCAATTATTTATATTGACGACTATCTGGCCATTGGTAAAAATTATACTGAATGTCTGAATAATATGAATATGACATTAGATTTATTACATAAATTAGGCTTTATTGTTAATAAAGAAAAGTGTGATCTGATTCCCAAACAGTGCTGTAAATTCTTAGGTTTCATCTTTAATACAGCAGAAATGTCAATAAGTATCTCTAATGAAAAGAAAGAAAATTGTTTAAAATTAACTAAAGAGTTATTGTCAAAGGAAGTGTTTACAATAAGGTTCTTAGCTCATGTGGTAGGTAAGCTTGTAGCTATATGTCCAGCCATAAAATATGGCATTTTATACACCAAGGAATTAGAGAGGCTAAAATTCCTTGCACTTACAAAGCATAATGATAATTATGAATGCAAAATTTCATTAAACAATAAATGTAGGGAGGACTTGACATGGTGGAAAAATAATTTAAATGATTCTAAGAATGTTATTAGGAAAAATACTTACATACTAGAGATATTCAGTGATGCGTCTACAACAGGATGGGGAGCTTCATGTGGTACAAGTCGCACAGGCGGAGTGTGGTCAGAGGACGAACTAGGCCTTCATATAAATGCTCTTGAGCTAAAAGCTGCCTTTTTCGGACTTAAATGCTTTGCAACAAAGTTAACAAAATGCCAAATACTTCTCAGAATTGACAATGTCACTGCAATTTCATATATAAACAGATTAGGTGGTATTCAATATCCACATTTACATAGTCTTGCAAAACAAATATGGCAATGGTGTGAAATAAGAGATATTTATATACTGGCTACATACATAAATACCAAACTTAATGTAATCGCAGATTTTGAATCAAGGAAACAACTAGGTAACACAGAGTGGGAAATAAATGACATCTATTTTGAACAAATAACTTCAACTTTTGGAACACCAACTATAGATCTCTTTGCAACAAGGACTAATAAGAAATGTAATTGTTTTGTTTCATGGCACCCTGACCCAGACGCATTTGCAATTGATGCATTCACACTTTGCTGGTCTCAACTGAACTTTTACGCATTCCCTCCTTTCTCCATGATCCTTAAGACCTTGGAAAAAATCATCACAGATAAAGCAAAAGGCATAGTTGTAGTTCCTTATTGGAATACTCAACCCTGGTTCCCTATGTTCATGAGATTGCTAGTTAATAAACCATTAATTTTGAAACCTGCTAAAGATTTACTTCATTTGCAAAATTCCAGAGAGCCACACCCCTTGCACAAGAACCTAAGGCTGATGGCAGGAGTATTATCCGGCAGGCCTTCATAAAATCCGGAATTAGTGAAGATTCAGCAGAGATCATGTTAGCTTCTATATCGGTTAATACATTAAAACAATATCAACCATGTATTGTCGCGTGGACTAAGTATGCAGAAGATTTAGGGCTATCAATAAATAAACCAAGCATTCCAGACGTTATTACCTATTTAACAAAAAAGTTTCATGAGGGATTGTCATATGGTAGTTTAAATTCTATTAGATCAGCATTATCATTGATTATAGGTACTCACCTTGGTACAGATGAAAGAATCAAAAGATTGTTTAAAGGATTTTTTAAGTTAAGACCTAGTGCGCCTAAATATAATGATACATGGGATGTATCCACAGTTCTTAAGTATATTGAAACAGAATATAAAGATTCAAGTAATTTAGAAACTATAACAAAAAAGACTGCTACTTTATTAATTCTAGCCACAGGCCAAAGAGTACAAACATTATCTTTAATTGACATAAATAATTTAATTATTAAGGATGATTGTGTAACAATTAAAATTGATAAATTAATTAAGACCTCTGCCCCTAACAAGTGTCAGCCATTTCTTACATTACCCTTTTTTAGGGATAAAGCAGATATTTGTCCTGCTAAAGCGCTCTGTGACTATCTCGATGCAACAAAGCATCTTAGAAATACTGACAACTTATTTGTATCTTTTAGAAAACCGCATAAAAAAGTTTCCTCCAGCACAATCAGCCGTTGGATAAAGAAGTGTATGACCGAAAGTGGTATAGACACATCAATCTTTACCACACATAGCACCAGACACGCTACGACATCTGCAGCGTTTAATAAAGGTGTAAATATTGATGATATACGTAGAACAGCTGGTTGGTCTGGGGAATCCACAGTATTTGGAAGGTTTTACAATAGACCTATTATAAATAATAGTCTTTTTGCTGAGAGCATTTTTAGAAATTAATTATTTTATAAAATATGAATGTTAATTAGCTCATAAGAAAAACATGACTGTGATTGAATATGATAAGGATAATAGTTATTAATGAAAGTCAGAATAAATAATACTCTTTTATTTAAACATGTTTGTTTAATTTTACAATTTGAACATGTTTATTTATTTAATTTTACAACTTTTATCTTTGAACATCTACACTAGTTATCTTTCATCATCGAGGACGAGACAACAACGAGCATAATTAATAGTCAAACGAACTTACCTGTACGTGAAGTTCGACTGTAATTATGCGAAGTTGTTGTCTCGTCCGAAGATGATGAGTCCCACCCAACCCCTTGGTTATTGTAATAATTAAAAGTAAGTAATTACAAAACACCCCAGTTGTAAAATTAAACCTATGTACTTACTTTAAACTTGAATGAGTTGACAGGTAATAGATGGCGTGGTGGGACCTACGTACGACTGCGTTCAGAAATATTTTATTTTAGCTTTAAAATTGTGTGACGCCAGAGGATGTAAGCCGGGACTACACTAGTTATCTTTCATCATCTTCGGACGAGACAACAACTTCGCATAATTACAGTCGAACTTCACGTACAGGTAAGTTCGTTTGACTATTAATTCTGCGAGCTATGTCGGTTACTTTGGTTCTCCTCTCCTGCTGGTGGACCGACGATCTGGTAAAGGTCGCGGGAAGAGCCTGGATGCGAACAGCGCAGGACCGTTCATTATGGAAAACCTTGGGGGAGGCCTTTGTCCAGCAGTGGACGTCATTTGGCTGAAACGACGACGACGACCTACTTTGATGTGATGCTATTTCAAATAAATCGTGTACTTATTCTGTGCCAGTTTGACCTTGCGATCGTCAGACGATATGCAAGTTATCATTACCGTACAAAATGAGCCCAATTGACGGCGACTCAAGCCTAATCCCCTCCTATCACGAATAATCAAATTGTTAAATTGCTGGTAGGTACTTAAATGCCATATCTATTAACAGTTTCTGATACCCGCGCGCTAAGGCCCGGTTTTTTGATTCGTAGTTAAAATAACCAATGGTCAAATTTGACAGATGTCAAATGACAAGTGGTTAAATATCAGAAAAAAATGTTTTTCGAACAATGGTTAGCTTGACTTTTAGTACATTTTTAAACTTTTAGTTAACATTTTGTTAATATTTAACCATTAGTAGCAAAATTTAACAATTTGTTATTTTAACTATGAATCAAAAAACTGGGCCGTTTGCCGGTCCGTGGAATGGGCGTCCCCTCCCCCAACCGCGATTAAACGCAATTAGCAATTAATGTGTATTATTTTACGCAAATACAAAATTTTTATCAATAGTAATAAATGAAACACATTTTAAATATAGTTTGATAAAGTTATAGACGTTTCCCTTCGAGTGATGTCATAATCGCCAGCGGCAAACTTAAAGCGAACGGATAGTAGTTAAGTATTTGAAAATTTTATAAGGAAGGTTAGTCTTAATCCACTTAATCCATCCATACAATCCATTCACAGGTTCGTGTCATTTAATAAAAATTCAACGTACACATTACTAGACTTGATTATTACTGAAGTTTAAAAAATTGTAACATTCATTTTGCTTTGATAGATAACCTTTGATAAGAAGAGGCGAAATAAATAGGTTAGGTATACAAGGTAGAGCATCACTAGGGTTATCCAAATGAACCACACATGTAACACAATAAATGATTTGATTTGATTTGAAATCACCCCCATGTATGTTCCGCGATTTTTGATAGTTTTCGAGTTATGATTGTTTTAAATTTCTGTGATGGTCAATGTGGCGCGAATAGTCAAGTTACATGCCCGATTTTATTATTATTATTAGATGAAAATTAGGCCTAGCTGATTCAGAAGTATTTACAGCTATAATACGAATGTGCACTTTTTTTTTATGCATAACAAGGCAGGTATTTGACCACAATCGCACTTAGAGCGGCAATACACGGACCGCTTGAAGCAGTCAGGGTCGACAGCTAACTGCAGAGTTCTATGGACACATACACGAACCGCTCGAGCAGTTGCAACTGATTCGGGCGGTCGACAGCTTCGTATGTTGTAAAAAAAAATCATCATTCATCGGTATCCTGTATGTTGTAAAAAAAATCATAACTCGAAAACTATTAAGTCACGGTGATTTGGGTAGCCCTAGTGATGCTCTACCTCTGGGCTTCGGCTTGACACTACTTTTTGGGACAACCTGTATTATAATGAGGCATTATGGATGATGATAATTATGATAATGAAGCATCAACATTATTATTGATTTACAATAGGAAGTAATTTTATATCAAAATAACAAAAAATCTGAAAAACGAATTAAATATGAAATTCAATTGTATAACGTTAAACTACTTACCTACCTACCTACCTATACTGTCTTTATTTAATACGAAGTCAAGTAAGTACTTATATAATTTTTTTCTTTAAAAAAATATTAATTGCTATTTATTTATCAGTTCCAGTAACTTCCACCAGTCCAGCCTAGTAAATTATTAGCTTTATTAGGTAGTTATTTACTATTTTACTGTCCATGCATGGTAGGCCATCGATCGTTTTCAAAAGTGACTGATGAATTAATCCACGTCACTCATTTCTTGTCGTGTCTGGCTGGGTTGATGTTAGGAAAAACCACAAATCATATGATAGACGGATATTGTTATCGCATTTGTTCTATGAACGAATACACATAATATTAATATCGGTAACTGTCGTATTCTGTAACTCGAAGCTATTCAGCGGCGCCGGGCTGGTGATGGCGGCGCGCCTGAAGTGGGACCCGAGCCTGTACGTGCCGCTGCGCGCCGCCGCGCCCGCCGAGTACCGCGCCGCCGCCGCGCTGCTGCCCGCCGCCGCGCTGGCGCTGGCGCTGCTGGCGCACGCCGCCGCGCTCGCCCTCGCCGGCGTGGCGCGCCGCCCGCTGCTGCTCGCGGTACGCGCCCCGTATAACACACTAAAGCCTGGTCCGTGAGCACGTAGAATCCCGTCCAATGACTCCAAGCTGCCCATCCTTGTCGCTCGCACGTAATTATGTTGCTGTCGCGCTCTCACACTCACTGCGGGCGCGCGTCGCACAGTCGCGACAGCAATATAATTACGCGCGAGCGATAAGGATGGGTAGCTTGGGGTCATTGGACGGGATTCTACGTGCTCACGGACCAGGCTTTACATGCCAAATACGGTAGTGCGTATTAGGAATCAATCATCATCATTGTGGGATATGATGTTCATCCACAATAAGGAAGCTTCCTTCCGAGCGGGTGTTGTGCTCGGGGACCAAGGTCCGATTTACACCATCTTGGTTTGTCTATATGTACTTGGCAGGATATAAAACTCCGTCACCGCGATGCAGGTTTGTCATCTGTTGGTCACTAGTTTGTAGTGGCGTATCGTCGGTGTCGCCACACCACTCCCCCCGGAAGAACCGGAGGTGGATGACGTCAGGATGAGCTCAGCAGTCTGTGCGTGATGAGCTTACAAGTGCCAGTGTGCTCAAGTCTGCGGTGAGTCGAGACGAGCAGGTTGCGGTGCTCTATCCACGGTGAGTCGGGATAATGAGCGGAGGCGTCTTCGATGGTCGGGCGTGGAGCTGGGCCAGAGCTGTACCCGTGACCAGTGAAGTGACGGTTGCTTGCTGCCGAGGAACCAGGAAGGTCGGTTGCGATCTGCGATGGTCCCTGAAGGCTGGATGCTGGCTTGTTGAAGACTGGAGCTGATGACGGAGTGGCGGAGATGGTGAGGATGGCGGATGGTGGTAATGGAAGGTCACGTTCCAATCACGTCGGNATCCCATCAAAAACAATACTTGTCAAAAAAACCAAGTCTCGCAACTCAGTTGTTCTACGGTAAAAAGTTGTGAGATCCATGTAATACCAAGTCCAGGCCAGGAAATCTTTAACGTTTTACATAAATTATTGACTTGGCCATCGCATGAAAACACGTGTAAATTAAATTATTTAGTGCGATGGCCAAGTCAATAATTTATGTAAAACGTTAAAGATTTCCTGGCCTGGACTTGGTATTACATGGATCTCACAACTTTTTACCGTAGAACAACTGAGTTGCGAGACTTGGTTTTTTTGACAAGTATTGTTTTTGATGGGATGAGTGTATACCACAAAGTTGATATTTGTAAAAAGCTAGGGTAAAAAGTAAAATTGTTGAAAATAGGCTAGGTACAAGTGCTTCTGCTACTACAGGCAAACTATAATAGGTACTTCCCAAGTTAATTAATATCAAGCTTCCTAAAGAGTGGGGAGCTAATAGCATTGAATGATAAATAAAATCATTTTAGTCATAGCAATCTGACATCATACTGATAAGGAATGTGGCACTATAAATTATGATACTTGGGTTTTGTAAAGCTTTCCAAATGTAGAAAACAATGTTTAAAATAGGATACATTTAGTCCATAGCTAATTGAGATTTATCTTATGATAAGAGTCTTGGTATTGTGTAACTTTTAAACGAGTCAAGTAAAAACTTTAACTCATCAAAACAATGTGGTAAGGGTTTTGAATTCCTAAGTGAAAAATAAATGTCTAAAACCGTAGTTACTTTTTCATTTCTTGTGTTTTATAGATGTAGGTTCTACCAAGTAGAATCTTTGTCAACAAAATAAAATGTGAAGCAGGACACTTGAGGATAGGTATACTGAGTCTGTTGTATGGGGTACAACGGTCTGAATCTGATGATATGAAATTATCACTTTATGGTAAAAAATAAAAATAAATTCTAGCTAGCAAGTAATTTAAGACCATGGTTGGTCTTGGTTTTAACTATTGAGTCCTTTAGATACTCTGACAGTAATTCATGTCATTAGCTTATTTGTGCTTGTTTTTAATACTCTCAGACCTTGGATGCAGGCCATTGTGGAAATCATTGGGGGAGGCCTATGTTCAACAGTGGACATCCTATGGCTGAGAAATACTCTTAGTTCAATATATTTTGTTACGAATATTTTACTCACCTACAGAAATAGAGACTGCAAATAAAATCTGTACAGCATAAATCTGCAGTTTACTAATAGGTTTTGCAGTTTCCAATGACATCCTGGAAAAAATATAAGTAAGTACATGTGTGTATATCATTAACTTGCCCGAAGCAAAAGTAATAAGTAGGTAATTCATAAAACACATGTTTAAAATGTATATCATTTGGCGCCACTAAACTGCTTAGAGCATGCTTATTTTAACATTTTCAATGACTCAATTTCATTGTAAATGCAGGCGCAGGCAAATACCACAAAACAGATTGATACCTATCTGATTTTTCACACAATCATTTGATTGAATAACAAAATTGTTATCATCGCTGCTCGGTGCTTACTTATATGCCTAAATGTTCTTGTTCAACTTCAGTACGATACATACACATTGAAAACAAAGATAAGTATATTATTAACGCGTTATTGTTATTTCACTAAAACTAAAAATAGAAAGTGAAGAAAAATAAATAAATTCAAAATTCAAAACTACGACATAACCTAAAAAAATGTTGTGAAAAATGTTTACAGTTTAGTGATGTAACATGTTCATTCATAATCAATCGAGAAACAAATCGAGCAATAGTCGGTTATATTTCCGGTTGTATTACTTTTCTCTATGCCGGTAACAACAGACAGACTAGAGATGGTTGATGGTTGAGATGATTATACTAAGTAAATTTGATACTAGGTGCACCTATTCCTAGTATTTATTAATACTCGATCCAAATACCTAATCCACCTAGTACGTAGTAATTTAGTATACTTGACGCGATCACGGCGACTAGTGCGGACTAATCCACGTAATATGACTTTAAAATACATTTTTTTTTAAAGATACAACCGTAGGTATGAATAATGTAATTTGAAATTGAATAATAATTCCTCCCTTCATACTTCAACAGGCTTTGGACGGTCAACTTAAAAGTATCAATTTCATAAAAATATTTACATATTTTTTCTTATACATGAATATGGTTTGACTACGTTTTTGTGCGTTTGCTTCGTCGCGCTCAAATTTGTTTGGTAAGACAGAGACGGAGTGAATCTCTACGTTCGCACGTAAGCTTAGCGAGAAATACTAGGTGCGCGTAATACACGACTACGGATTACGCAATAATAACCTCTATTACTTTGATGGTAGGGTCGGAAATCGTGTAATTTATAAAATAGTAGGTGGATCAAGTATTTTAAAAATTGGAATAGGTGCCGCCTAGTACTGTAAAATACCTAGTGTGTGGATCTGTTCTAGTAAATACGTCTCATCTCTAACAGACTATGGGATATCTGCTAGGCTGCTAGTAGAGATGGGTAGTGGGTAAAAACCCATTTCACCCGATTGGGTTAAAACTGGGTGATTTGGGTAAAAACCTGGTTTTTACCCATTATCACCCATTCTGGTGGGTGAAAACAAAAATAGCGTCTTTTAAAGTGAGAAGTGGTATTTGTTGCTAAAGGGGCGTTCTAGTGTTACGTAATGCAATCTGGGGGGCGAGGAGGTCTTGAAAAACGTTACAATGCGTTACAGTGGCGGAAGGGCGGTTCGATTTCAAGTTTTTAAGCAGAAGTACTTTGTAGTTGGTGTTGTTATTTGTAACTTTATACCGTAATGTCATCAAAGAGAGAGTTTGGCATCTTTGGCATCCCCCCCCCCCCCCCCTCCATGTCCATGCCATGATCACAAATTATTGTGTTCCTACTAAATTTCTTCTAAATCGGTTCAACGATTCTTGAAATAACACCATTTTATAAAATAATTGGTCACATCATCATAACGTGATCAATTTTACGATTTGAATGCATATTAGTGTTAAATTTGATTTATTACTTATTAATCAATAAACTTAAATGAGAAAAATTCAATAAAAATAAAGAAAAGATACCAATTGAAATAACTATAAAATTATTTGTTTTCACCCGGTGTAAACACCCACGGGTGGAATGAAACGGGTTTTTACCCTCATGTGGGTTTTTACCCAGGTGGAAACCCATCTCTAGCTGCTAGGCGTCTGGTAGATTATAATGCGCCGCATTATAATCTACCAGACGCCTAGACGGAGCGCATTACGATCTTCAGAACGGGTGGAGCGGAGTTTAGTGAGTCAGCGTAAACTCCCCTCCTCCTCCGGTTCTGCTCTTGCACTCCTGGCTGGCTCATTGAGGCAAGCAAGGAGGTAACGGTCATTTAAGGTACTATTCCAAATTCAAATTTCAACCGCTATCTTTAACTAATTGGGGTCCGATGGTGCGATCGATTTCCCAATCGATTAATGCTATTACATCAACATGCAATAGTGCAACCGCAGTGAGCTAATTTTCTTTGTCCAAAGCCGTTATTCTTTATCAGTTTTTTTTTCATATGTCAACTGTCACTGTCAGTCATATGTCATAACAAAACAGCTTTTTGCAGTTTTAATCTAAGAGTTTTTCCATTTCTATTCCAGTGTGTTTTCCCCTGCAGAAAATAAGTATCTCATGTAAACAGAATGGTTGTTTGTAAATTTTTTCAACAAGGCAACTGTCGTTATGGGCAGAGCTGTAGATTCGACCATATTTACGGTTCTAAATATTCTTATCATGGTAAGCGTCAGATCTCAGTACCTAGCGAATTGCTACATATATATTTATTTTTGTGGTTTCTAAAATTCAAATTTGCAGCCCAACCAGTCAGCCAGCCCGTGCAACCCGGCGTGACAGATGAACTTTTAATCAACCAAGTAGAAACCGATGTCAAATCCGTTCTGAACGGGGGTCAATGGATCCTATCATGCTACTCTCCATTCAAGGAGAAACCCAACTTCCCAGGAATCCCAGATCTCTCGCCGGAGGAAGCTAGACTGTTTATTTATGAGGCCAAAGCTAACAATAATTTGGACCAGGCTGTAAGTATTACATGTAGTAAAACTTCTAATAAATACCTTCTGATACTACTATCTTTCAATTCTGTGCTTTTTCTATTACAGGTATCATACATGAATAACCAGTTTGTAGAATCACGACGCAAATATGAACAGTTAGTGCTTCCAAATCAAGCAATAGTAAAAGTACTAAGAAGTCTGTACAGGGGAGAAACTGTGGCTTCTCCATTTGCAGGTGGCCAAAGCAGTGGATTCGAAACAAACTCTGCAGCAACATCTATATTTCGAAGTGCTGTGCAGGGTACCTCTGTGTTTGGGCAAAACACAAACTCCAGTCCCTCAATATTTTCCCAGAATTCTGTTAACCAATCAGTTTTCGGACAAACTTCACCAAACACAAAACCATCAGTGTTTGGTCAAAACACAAACACAGGGTTTGGTCAGAATTCTGCATTTGACCAGAAACCTAATGTTTTTGGATCACCAACTGCAGAGAGTGCGAAGTCAATTTTTGCACAAGCAAGCCAGAATGTTTTTGGCCCAAGTTCACCCAGTAATGTGTTCGCGCCTTCAAATGCTGATCCAGCGAAATCTATTTTTGCTCAAGCCAGCCAGTCTGCGTTCAACATGAATCAAGCTCAACCCTCTACTAATGCTGCGAGTATATTTAGTGCAGCCTCTCAATCTGCATTTGGCAAGTCAAGTGATCCATTCAACAGTCAACAGCAACCGGCTTCATTTGGCAAACCAGCACAGAATGTGTTTCAAGTCCAGACAGATGAGAGCAGTGTATACAGTGATATTGATATTTTATCGCCAGAAGACATTGAAGCATTCAAAGCTGATGATTTCAAATTAGGTTTTATCCCAGAAATGCCTCCACCTCGTTCACTCTGTTTTTAATTATTGCTCTAGATGATTTTAATTATGTATACTTTTTTATTTTTTATTATGTATACCTATTTAGTTTTAAACTGTTAACACTTCAGTCACAGTATGTCTTCAGTGCCAAATTATTGTAAAGGTGGCTAGAGTTCAACTTGACTTGATATTAAAAATAATTAATAGTCATGTAATATTTATTGTAAAATGTTTTGTTAATTAGATATTACAATGCACAAACCATTTCTTTTATTATCATAGTCTTTCACATTCCCACTTGAAATTGTCCATCTTATAAAATGAGTTTTGTATAAGCACTTTCCTCATAAATAAACACTAGTTACACAGCCTAAATTAATGGTCTATCTCTCCCAGATATATCTGCTTGTCACTGGAAGCAGACATCACAATGGGCTCTGTATGGTGAAAGTCCACATCATTGACAGATCCATTATGGCCAGGTAGCTTGTACAAAACTCGCCGAGATGTTGTGTCCCAGACATATAAGAATCGATCAGAGGACCCTGCTGCCACCTAGAAAATTCACCAATTTTAATTAGTTTTACAGACATTGGTAATAGAACAGGCAAATGCAATCAATTTAAACTCAATCAAAAAATCATTATCACCAAAAATCAAGTCAATTTAACTCTGAGAATCAGACTCAGGATACCTTAGAGCCATCATGTGACCAGGAACACCGCAGTAGATTTTTTTCGAAGTTGTGCTGGTGTCCCGACATTAGCTTGACGCAGCGTTCTGAAGGCGCAAAAGGCCTCACATCCCATATTCTCAGTGTGCTATCCATAGAGTTGGAAAGTAGGTAGGATCCGTCATATGACAGAGCCATGCCTGGAATGATTTACAAACCGTATAAATAACTTATAAAGAATTTATTATTGACTATTCATTCATACAAGGTAAAATAATCTAAAACTGTGATTTACCTGTGATTGTATCTGTGTGTCCTTTAATTTTGTAAGAAATCTGATTTGTTCTAATATCCCAGACCTTGATGATGTTATCAACTCCACCAGAAATGATCTTTTCTGCTGTGTCATTGAACAAAACTGATGTGACAGGGTAGCCGTTATCAAAGGAGGCTATAGGGTTCCGCTTCCGGGCATCCCACAGCTTTATGGTGTTATCATCAGAAGCCGATACTAATAGTTCTGGGCCCCTTCTTGCACCTATAAATTAGAAAATTCTCATGAATGACTCCCTAAAACAATCTTTTGTGGTAATAATAACTCATCATCCAAATCCATCTATGTCAGAGAAGAGATTAACTAACCATTATATTCTTAAAAATTAATGAATATAGTAATAACTAAAGATCAATAAATAAACACCAAATTACCTGATACAGAGTTGACAAAATTAGCATGTCCCTTGAGTTTCTTGATACGGACCCCAGTGGGCACGTCCCACACGGCGACCGTGTTGTCCGTGGCACAGGTGTACAAGTGGGAGCCGTCTGGAGAGAAGCACAGCTCCATGACGGCACCCGTGTGTCCCTTCATCACCATCACATTTTCACATTGCCCATAAACATTCCATACAACTGAAATGTTTCAATATTGTCTTGTAGATGGTAATCGTTTATAAAACATTTTGTTTAAAGAATGATTTGTTTCTTATTATGCATTGTACTTACAAATTTGCCTATCGAAACCAGCAGAAGCTAAATGCTTCCCTTCTGGGTGGAACTTAGCAGTGAAGATTTCGCCTTGATGTCCTTCTAGTAACATAATGGGCGCATATAAACTTGAAGTGCGTGGAACCTGAAAATTTTAGTTATGTAATATACCTGTAAAACCTTAATTATTAACACAAACAATAGTAATAAATACTTACAGCAGAAGTCACTACTGCTTTTTCTCTAGTGCCGACCACTGAAATCTCATGCCTAGTTCTTTTCGATGGCACTAAAGAAAAATCTTCAGCTTTTCTTTTTTCAATTTCAGGCATTTTGTGGAATGTTATTGCACGCACTATACAAAAATAATCTAGATTTTGAAAATACTACAGCCACATAACACAACACATAACCTCAAACAACACAAACAATTGTTTTTTTTTTAAATCAATCAAGTCAGTCAATTAATTACTGCTTGGAACACTGGAAATTTGGAAAAAATACCATAATGACTAGCGCGAAACATGTATCTGTTGTATTTGTGTCCTTAGCCTTACACACAGCTATCATGTCTATGGTTTCGTTTTGACAATAGATAGACAGCTGTCAGTGTCAAATTGACTTGGTGCATTATTTTTCAAATGATGAAAGGACGAAATTTTTCATGAAATTCTTTAAATTATGTTATAACTATACAGTTTTCGATAAGTTGTTATCATGCAAAAGTTACAGTTGACTTTGGCAATCATAAAGCCACATGCTGTGAAGAATCCAGTTGCACTTTCATACATCAGACAGGTTATAAAACATAAGTTTGTTGTGGTAAAAACTAAAAGAGTTTCCTTAAATACAGAAGCTGCTAGCAATTTTTATAAAGAGCACACGGGAAAGTTCTTCTACAATCGCCTCGTAACTTTTATGACCAGGTATTGTGCTAAGCATAACTATTACTCATTTTGTAATGCCATTAGCATGGATTTGGGGAGAACATTAACCTTTATTTGATATTATATTGCTGCCAATAAGCTGGTGATGTAATAGGGGATGAAAAGACTATCTTTTTAGTCTGCAGTTCTTTCAAAATAACTAAGTTGTAATAATAATGCTAATCATTCATTTTATAAATTTTCAGTGGCTGTGTAGACTTGCACATCATAGGCCATGCCAATGCAATAGAATTGTGGAGAAAACTTCTTGGTCCAACAAGTGTGTACAAAGGACAATTCCAGGAGCCATACTGTTTGCGCGGAATGTTTGGAATATCCGACACCAGAAATGTGGCTCATGGCTCAGGTAAAATATCTGAGAATCACATTTTTTAAAATTGTTATGTGCATAATGTTTTAATTATTTAGATTGGTACCCTAAGTAGTAGTAATATCCTATTTTGCAACAAACATTTGTGGTCTGATGTGCTGTGTTTTCTAAAAATAAGCCATAATTAAACTTTTAGCAATACTACATATTTAAAACTTATTATTCCAGATTCAACAACATCAGCAGAGAGGGAAATCAAATTCTTTTTTCCAGACTTCTCATTTTATGAATGGCACAAATCCTCAGAAGAATATTATAGAAAGGGACCTATTATATTCAATGACCATCTTTTTGAACATGTACGAAAACTGTGATAGTATTGGAATTTAGTTTAATTTATTAGCCAAAGCCCATTACCTGATATCTCTAGTAGTGTTTTAGTTGTTAGTACCTACTGTATTATTTTATGTAAAATGTGAATGTGTGTTAAGATTTATCAAGTACCTATTGTGATAGTTAACCAATTTCTTTTTTGTAAATAATGTTTTGCATAGCAAATCTAATCTTATTTGTTAAAACCTTTTGAAGGTATTGCCTGTATTGGTAAATGACAATCATCAAGTTATAAAATATAACTTAGATAATCCAGAATCTAAATTGCATTTTTATTTGATTAAAGAATCAAATCAACTGAAAAGCATATACATATATGTATTTAAATCTCCAAAAAATGTTATAGAAACACTGTAAACCATACAAAATATACCATTATATTAATTACAACAATTCAGTACATAACATACAACATTAAATTAAACTAACATACAAGAAATTAACTTACTCATATGGAGATCACAAGAATTTATGAATTGTATGCCAGCATTGTCAACTTTGAATTTAGATGTAATATACTGGACGTAATACAACTACCCCAGGCATGTGCCCAGGTTTGACTAAAATAACTTCATTCTCCTATCTTGACAAAAACCTTAGGTCTAGAGAAGACTTTGATGCCTTCCTCAAGCTTGGCGAGTTGCTTTTCAAGCTCCATTTTCCTATTCCGCATCCTCAATGTGTCAGTCTTAACTGGCATTTTGTTTAGTTCGCTTACTAACTCGGCAAAACCTGCAAAAAACAACAAAACAGATTAGTAATTCGTTTTTAAAGTATTTTTAAGAAAACAGACATTACAGAAACAGAGGTGAAATTGTGTAAAGCAATCGTTATCATTTGACAGTTCATAACGTACGATTATTCTGTCAAACGCTTTGTTTAACTGACTTTATCGTACGTTATGAACTGTCAAATGATTACGATTGCTTTACACAATTCCACCTATTATGGCGGCATTAATGAAATTCGATGTAATTTTAAAAACTTACTATTTCTTAGCATGCGCAATGTCTCCTTTCTTTCTGTGTCTGGTAATGTCACATGGCCGGGTGGGCATACAGCTTGATCATCATCAGCTTTTGCCCCTTCAGCCTCCTTTGGGATCTGGTCCTTGCGGTCCCGCAAATACTTAGGCAACACACCTTTTTGATAGCCTGCAAGAAACATATTAGTTATAAACAGTGGCTTCAATCAAGTCAAAATTAAACTAAGTTAACTTACAATGAAAAGATAGAAAGTACCTGATGGTAAATAAGGATCTTTGTTGTCTTTCCTTTCTAAGATGGCATTAAGCCTACTGCGATTCCTCTCCATTTCCATAGTATCTTCACTTGTTCGTCGAGGTGAATGTGAAGAGGGAGAACTCCTGTGCAGCCCGGTGTCTCCGCTTGCCTTCATTTTGGCCTCCAAATCTTGGTCTCCTTCTTTTTTTGGATATAGCATCGTCAACTTGGCACTGTCAGCTAGCTTCTGAGCAAGGTTGGACTCGACAGTCTGGCAACCAATGTCACGAAGGCGACCAGATGATTCTGACGACTTAACTTCCTCATTTTCTGATTCTTCCGCTGGTTTCGCTTGTCTCAGTTCTTTTCTTTTTAAAAACTCTGCCATGTCACCTTTTTTTATTCTTACATCTGCATATTTCTTACGAGAGTTAGTAGAACTGGTTTTGCCAACGTTTAGAGAAACTTTCCCGCTTTTGTTGGACGGCGACGACTTGACTTGGCCTAAGGAGTTGCCAGCAGCCACGCCACTGGCCAGCCGCGGCGGGTGGACGCTCTTCAGTGTGAACTTTGGCTCTTTTGGGGACTTCCCCTGAATAAACTTCAGTTGTTTCATGTTTTCCCTGATGAAATTCTTTTTATGTTCTTTTTCTGAAACATTTAGCACAATGAAAAGTAGACGTAAGTACTTGTTTGTTAGAGTCTGTTAGAGTCACCACAACAAACTTTACGAGGTCATGACAACGTAAATGCACTGAACCAAATCAAACAACGAATTTAAACAGGCACAAGACTTACTGGGTTCGGGAAATATTCCCTTCAATGTATACATCCTTGTTATCAAACAATAAAGGTTGAATACAGAAAATACACACTCATTATTTAGAGTTCAATCGAAACTGTACACTCCTAATGTAAACAAATGTTCATCGTTGCACTTTTGGATATTTCAAGGAAAAATAAATTCAGTGATTTTTTGTAATTTGCGCTCGGTTTTTGTCACCTGTTTTTTTCAAACAACTGTCACATGTTGTCTATGGTCAAATAGTTTCTGGCAGCTTTTTGTTTTCGTTTACAATATTGTTTCCGTTATTTACGGTAGCGTCTGGTAGCGTTATTATGTAACAGATTTTATTGATTTTGATTATTGCCCGGGTGATTAATCCGTTGATGATAAGATAAGTTAACCAGCAAGGGTAATGATTTTACGATTGGGGTTACTAACGCAGGATAAAAATATTATACCTGCAATCTATGAAAAACACGCACATTTGAAGCCTGTTTGGTTCATGTTGATTATTTTGATAACTTCTATTTACGTCACTCCATTGTCAAATTTTAATCGGGACACACACAATTTCGAGTAATTTATTTTTGAAGAACTTTTCGTTTTCTATGAACATTTAGCTCCATTGAATATCATGGCAAGCATTTCGGGAGCAATTTTCTCGTCAATCAGCAAGTATAAAATTTCTAGGAGAGGAAGAAAGTTACAGGCAACTGATGACCAGAGAACGTTGGTTGCTCTGCCTAAAGATGTTCCTGAAAGGACGTGGTTAGTATTAAAAAAGAGAAACTGATTAGACCTGTTAGAAATTAAAGCCACTGAGAATAAGAAGAGAGAAGTCGTAGAGGCCTAATGGCCTGATACCCGATGCAGTAATTCCAGGTTCGATTCTGGGATCGTTCGCGATAGCGATTAGGGAATTACTTTTGTAAACTAAAGTGTACCGATTTTCTTAGTGTAAAAACATTAAAAACTGATAAACTCCTATCTTAATTATGTAGGCCTTATTGAATTCGTTTTAATAAATCATGATCGCTTCGCTACGCTCTTAGTTAGTTACGTAAAACATACTCTTTTTTTTCGATTCGAAATCTGTAAAGAATAGTACACACGGCCACACTGTTAACTATCCATTTCCGTTTTTGCTCTCGCTCTCATCAAATGGTGATTCTTTGCGATAGAACGAGAGGACATGACAGGCAATGGATAGTTAACACTGTTGCCGATGATAGGTACATTGAGTTGACAGGGAATTAAACAAACTAATAAATTAGTTCGACTTTAAAATAAATCTACCAGGGCTGAAGTGCTGCAGAAGGAGGAGAACGACCTGTTCATCTTCGAGATCCGCGAGGACATCGTGGAGGAGGCGCTGCGGGTCGGCTACGAGCGCTACATGGACCGGCAGAACGCTCTCTTCACGGCGCACTGCGCGGCGCAGGCCTGGCTCAAGCTCATTGATTGGTAATAAAACCTGAGTGATATTATAACCTGAGTCTTGAGACGATAAGTTACATTCGAGTCATCTCTAGCTATAACGGAATTTATGCAGAGCTAAGCTAAATTAACTTAGCTTAGCTTTTGGTCTGCAACCGGCATTAATGTTGATTGAAAGGGCTTCACAAACGAAACAATGAAGCTTGAGTCGCAGTCGCATGATCATACGCTCAATTAAAGAGTTATAGGAGCTGGATCAAAAACCATAATAGCTTAGATTATTTTGATTAATTTATGCATAATAGGTATTCACTAATATTTACATGAAATGATACGAAATTGCAAGAAATAAAGCATCATAAAGCAATGTTAAGTAATTATTTAGAAGTAAATAACCCCTTGCATCACTAGAAATTTTTTTCTCCTTTTGAATAACGTATCTCTCTGTGATCTATTTACACTTATAATACTTAAGTAGTCGTATTATTACATTTTACTGCTCTAAAGGCACTTCTACCGGCACGATCCCGGCGAAGACCCCAGCGCCCACCCCGCTTGCTTCATCCCCAAACGCCTGGAGTCCTGGATTCCCGACGAGCTTCCCGACCCGTCCCCCAAGGACACATGGTGCAAACAAGAGCTGAATGTGGTAGAGGACACGCCCGAAGAAGGCCTGCAGAAGTGGCCTTCAACCAATTCTCTGGATGTACCTGTTGTGGAGGAGATACCTTCAGAGTATTGGTAAGACAGATTTAGATGTAGAGGTCAAATTTAAAAGTAGAGAACTCAAATAACTACAGTGAGAATTGAAATCTTAAAATTCCATGAACTTCTGTAAGTTAAGTAGGATACCTATATTCGAGAACCGTGGGCGTAGATTCTCCTTTAGGTCCTACTAGGTAGGTATGTGATTAATTAAAATAGTTTTACTTATTACCAAATACTTCCCAAGGTTCCCCGGGAAAGTGAATGTGCCCGATGACATGCGACGTAAACGTGAGAGAGAAGAATCACTTGGTGGTGACGATGTGAGTACCTACCTATTTCATAAAATGAGAAATAAAATGTTATTGATATTGCAACACGTGCCATTGATTAAGAGCATTTATGGCTAATTGGCTATCAACGAGGATTTCTTGAACTAATAAATGTGAACACAAAAGTATGTTCTTATTGAGTGGGTTTATTGAGATTTACCCATGTATCGACGAAAGCTAACTCACTTAGAAACTGACTTTCTAGTTGCTTCGATATAATCATCAGCAGCCGATTATATCGAAGCAACTAGAAAGTCAGTTCCTAAGTGATGGTCAATCTTCTTGCTCTTCTAATCTAAGTCTAAAAATGTGCGTATCTTCAAACTTCCCCCATTTGAAGTAAGTTTCGGAGGAACTGACGTGTTCCCCAGGATCGCGGTCGGAAGAAGCCGCTGGTAGTGGCGTCGAAGGTGAGCGGTGTGTGGGAATCTGTGCAGGACGCCAGCGACACCACCTCGCCGTCCGAGGACCTCGCCACCGAGAGCGAGGTGCTGCAGAAGATCACGGACTACAGCACGGAGGAGTTGTCTCAAAAGGTTTGGATAATTTCATTTTAAAGTTATGATCCTCTAGTAATGTCGTAGTTAAGCAATATCAGTTTTTAAAGGCCAGTTACTCAGAGAAATCGAAATCGCGTCTGAGCAAGAATTTAAGTTTAAGAAGTCATTGTGCCGGGGATTATCACCTCAACCTCAACACTTTTGAATAATAATATATGCTACGTTGAAATAAAATGTAGAGTTTTGTCAGTATGTCTGACTGAAAAGGTCTGCAAATTTTCGGGCTAGATAAATTAGTGTGATAGTCTGAACTAGTTGATTGAGCTAATAAAAAACATCATCGTATCCTTCCCTTGACCATCGTTCCTGTCCAGGATTCAACGTACAGCGCGTTGAAGACAACGACTCCTGTCGACGGTTCGCTGCACGGAGCGGGAGACTCCGTGGTGGACCGTCTGCGAACCAAGCGCCGGCATTCGGAGAAGAGCAAGGTGTTCAGCAAGGCGAGGTGACTGTGCTGACAAATTATAAGTATCTAGCTAGTGGAAGTTGAGGATTTATCACATTCAAGGCACCTGGATGCGAACAGCACAGGGCCAGTTGTAATCGATATCCTTGGGGAAGGCCTTGTCCAGTAGTGAACATCTTTTTATTACATGTCTTCAAGTCTTAAGTTTAATGCAAAGTCTGATTGTTCGACAGCATGATCGGAAGATCAAGAGCGACCCTGCCGCCCCTGGACATCGGGGACTCGCGCTCCCGGATAAGCATCATCTCCGACTGCCGCTTGAGGAACTTGAGGTAAGTGAACATGCTCCATCTTAAGTTTCATCATCACCATTGGGTGAGGAGGTCGACGCCAAACAAAAGACTTCAAAGAAATGACAAAATATCCTTTTATCAGTGGCGGATTTACAGATTTGCCACCCGATCTTATTTGACTGGCCTGGCGAACATTGATGATTAGTATCCGAAATACGTACCTACTTTGTGTATGTAAAAATAATTATGAACTAAATCTGCCGCCCCTTAAAATTTGCCGCCCTAGGCTTCAGCCTACTGAGCCTGCTGGTAAATCCGCCACTGCCTTTTATACTATCCTTTTCTCCTATTGTCACTAGTAAATAGGTACAAGAAAAGGAAAACGGCTAAGTAATATTACATCGTTCGAATTCGAATCGAAATAATTTCCCGAGGCTGACCCTCAGGCACGGCAATTGTTTGCTTTGTGTTTAAAGCTTCCTATAATTGAAACTGTTTCAAGTAATTGTGATCGATTCACAAATGGGTACGTGCGCAACTTGATTAACAACGGAGCGGGGGCGGTTTCATTGGAAGTTTGAAGCTTATGAAAGCACAAATAAGTAGGTTATGAAGTTACCCCGCGGTGGCGTGGGTAAGCTTGAATGATTGTATTGGAAGTGTTCAATGGCAACCAATTAGAAGGTAAGCTTTCTTAGTAATTGACACGAATGTTGGCAAATGGGATACATTACCGATTTCGAAGTTTGTTTTGTGTTGCTACAACTACACTCGACAGCAAATAAATCGCACCACCCGCGACAAGCACTTTCAAACGTATGCATCCCCACTTCACACCAATATTGGTACCATTCAAAAGCCTAGTTCTAAACTTCATTTCATTATAGGAAAGGTTTTTACCCCAAAAATGTTTCTTTAGAAGGACCCAGAGTCACTTCTTCAAAAAATAGATAGTTACGCTTGAGCCAACTTTTATGGCTTTAAAACTGTTAAGTTGGGATTAATCGCTATCCATCTGTTAAAGAGGACACGTGTGATCATTATTTGGTTTTATGACCATAAAATTTGGTCTAATTGATCCCAGAGGTGAGCCCAAAGTGAGGTCTTTTTTCAAGTCACATTTATGGTATATGTTAATCATTTATTAAGAAATTAAATGTGTTTTTCTTTAAGGATATTAATTGGGCTTTCAAATAACACCAATATTGTTGGGGCACCATTATTGTGTCAAAAGAAAATCTTTAAGGTTCGCGTCGCGGGTGGTGCGATTTATTTGCTGTCGAGTGTATTTAGATTATGTTGATGAATCCCTATCTCTATGTCAGTTACGAGGTCCTAGATTATGATAGTAAAAAAATGCAGGAAACAATTTCCTGGAAGGATTTGCATCACAGAAGTAGGCAGTAAATTAGTTAAAATCGAAATATACGGACAAAAGCTAGTCGTCACTGAAACTTTGAGCTTTCTTAAGCTTTGACGACCTCTCACTTTACGTCTAGAGTGAGGGGCAGTACGCAAATCTGTGAGAACTTTT